CCCCCTTATGTTGGAAAGGTGGCTGTGAAGGGTCACATCCCCCAGGATAATTCCCCCCTCCCTGCTTGTGAAGCGTCAAACTAGGCTTGACATCTTCCAACAGGAAGTCAGCCCCCTTTTCATTGTATGATGATAGGCATGACAAGGGCAGACTCATTTCCCCTTCAACTTTTGGGGCCGATTCCAGCTTAAACCCCCACTTTGAAGCAATGGGTACAATGGGTGCATTGGCACCTCCAGCTGTCCATGTTGACACATGGGAACCCTGATCTTGACCCCTTCATTACCTCCCATCCTTCGGGATAGCTTGTAAGATAGGGTCAAACCCGGACTCCTTCTGTTTAGGAACCATTGCCTGAGGGTCTGAGTATGGTACACTTTCAAGTGGCACGGAGTCAGATTGAGTGGTACCTCTATACCCCCAGGGTGACCAGCTATTTGTTTGTGGCTCCTGGCTGACATACTGACCACCACTAGGTGTAGTCAGTAGCATAGTGCCAGGAGTAGGGGTCTTTTTCGGAGGCGAGGCAGCACGAGCCGCTAGGCTCTCTGGTTTTTTAAGAGCCTCCGTCTCCAATGTTACCATTAACTCCCTAAATTGGACCCGCAGCTCCTTAACCTGCTGCTTCATGTCCATAACCTCTACCTCCTGTCTATCTAGCCTATCTGCCCGTGATGAGGTCGACCGGGTTGGTGATTGCGCCTCTATAGGGGCAGTGACCATTATGCCCGTGATGACCCCATCACTTAGCCATTTCTGCCACTTCTCAATGCCCACTCTGGAAACAGTCACTGTCACAGTTTCTGCAGAGTGAGCCCCTCATCATCTCTTACACAAAAGATTGTCTGTGCCGTCGCAGAGCCTAAACCCTCCAATGTGCACAGCTCATCCTCTGTAGCTGTCCGTATATTTATGACAGTCATGACAAAATATATACTTCCCAGAAAGAAATGAGTCAACACACTTAATTAAACAATTACAAAATTATGTACAAGGACAGATATCAGCGGTGCTATGAAAGACACGTGCAACCGTCCCGTACAAAATTCCAACGATTACAACTACGATTTACAGTTTACAAAATAATTTCGAATTCCTAAAATAACTAATTTCTAACCTAATGCAATAATAACCTAACTAAACATATAATAATTTCCCTACAATATAAAAATAATATCCTATTCTAACGATAACTCAAGTCTCGCCTGTCATATGTATTCCGCCAATATGGGCGGCCCACTATACAGGCGAATGGAGTTCCGTGAAAAACTAACAAGTAAACTAAATTAAATTAAATATAAATTTCAGAATGGCACTGAAAACACCGCCGACTCTGAATTACCCCTAATAAATAATTAAATAACAATAATAAACTACTAGAACTGTCCCAAAATCTCTCACTCGTAATTCGCGCACTGGTCAACAAAATGGCCAGCGCACGTGCGAGCAAGAGGGGACCAGCAAGGTAGAAAAAATATATGGAAAAAAATGTCAAAATAGCGCAAATAGCGTGAGTTCTTTCTCACTTATGACACCAATTGTCGTGAATTCGGTGTGTGTATTTCACACACCGTCACAACAAGTAGTTGTAACTGCTCTCAGCTCCTGAAATCAAATAGCAGGGCAGAGGAAAATCACTCACGTGTTGTTCGATGTGTTTCAAGAGGTATAAGAGACCGCGCCAATGCGTCACAGCGATGTTGTCGCGTAGATCACGAGATCTCGTGTCGGCGCGGTCCACGGTCCAAGGGAGATAACTCTCCCGAAATTCACCACATATATATTTTTATAAGATATCTTATATAATGTATACGATATCTGATATAATTTTGTTAAGTGCTGGTTCACCATTGCTCCATGATTAAATGACAACTTGGCTTGCCATATTTGGTGGAAGTGGATTCCGTAGCAGGTGCGATAACATATCAATGTTTTCAAATATCTCCTTAAATATTCTTTGACAATACATTCCTTCAATAAAATATAATATATGATAGAAAAGTATACATAAATCTAATGATAAATGTATGTATAGGCCTAATATCTCATCCTTGCTTTCAGCAGCGGAGGTAGCAGTGGAAGCAATGGTGGATTTGGCGGAAGTGGATTTGGAAGCAGTTCCGGTGGGGACAGTGGCAGTAGTGGTGGATTTGGCGGAAGTGGATTTGGAAGCAGGTGTGACCATTTGTCTTGACGGATAAAGGTTCATTATTACATGATTTGGTTATTACATAAAAAAGATATGAATGCTAACCTTACAAGTTACTTTTATTTATAGTAGTAGTGGGGGCAGCAGTGGCAGCAGCGGTGGATTCGGCGGAAGTGGATTCGGAAGCAGGTTTGTTTTCTTGTTTAGGTTTTGTTATTTCAAGATGATATGTCAAGTGTTGAGATTGAGGGGTAATTATACAACAGATATAGCCAGAAGGTGTTTGTTCTCTATTCTGTTTTGTTTGTTTACCAGCCATAACACTTCAAAAGACAAGTGACTGTACTATTTCTGTTAGATTTTGATTAAACTGATTCAGTATACAATTGTGATCCACGTTCTACTAGTAATGACTCTTGCACGTGATCAAACATGCGATCCTTTTATTACCCAGCAGCACCGGGGGTGATAGCAGTAGTGGAGGATTTGGAGGAAGTGGATTTGGTAGCAGCAGTTCCAGCGGCGCAAGCGCAGCAGGAAGCTTTGATCCTAATGCCATCAATGCCAACTTTGGAGGACGACGATAGACGAATATTTATGTCTTGTTATTTATTATACACGAATAAAACACCTATAAATGATTAACTTTGTCATTTGCTATACGTTAAAAATGGTAATAGCAGTTCACAATTATTTAGGGTATTGCTCTAGAAATCGCTGCGAAGTAAAAAATATATTTGCTGCTTGTGAAATAAGAGTTATTATATCAGGAAAATGCGTGCTTGCGTGTGTGTGTGTGTGTGTATGCAGGAGGCAATGTATGTTGGCGTGCTTGCCTCATTGTGATAGCGCGGATATGATGCCAACTTTTATATTGCTATCACACTGAAATACCATGCCGAAGGCACCCAGCACAGAATTCCGCCCGGTCACAATTATATAATTATACTGACGTCATTCCCGCCCTTTTTTAATGCATTACATTTTTTCATATTTTATGCAAATGTAAAAAATAGAAAATTTAATGGTGTCTTCAGTAATAACAAATATATTTCACTCGTGTGGCTAATGTTTGTTATTACTGAAGCACCATTAAATATCCTCTATAAAACATCGATTTGTTGAATAAATATGATTTTTCGAATTTGACAAAAAAAAATCAAGCAATCAATCAATATAATCTTTTAATAAAGTATGTTTTCTTTCCCAATTTTTTTAATCACACTTTTAATGAGGAAAAATTACATGTGTATAATTGCGTGTAATTACACCTTAACCTAAACAAAAGAAAGGTGTGAATTTCACAGGTAGGTAATGAATGCTTGGATAAACACACCTGGGACTCGTAAGGCTTCACTGATAATTCCTCTCAGACAGCTATTTGTTCTACTGATATCTTCTAACAATACCAAAGGGATTAACTTATAATTGGTCAAGTGGCTTCTCCTTTGTGCTCTCAGATATTATTAATAACAATTTAATCAGGACCCTTTGATCTACCCCTCCGAATGTAAATGTCCTCAGAGACACAGATATGGAGGAGGTCAGAGTTGCTCAAAGTTACTCAAATTAAAATAAAGCCATGATAAAACCAGGGGGATTTACTGTGGCTAATACAATCCCTCTGATATCCAAACGAAGAAACTACCTATTCCAAACTCAAAGCACCTGACTTATAGTGATCATGGACCACAAGGAAATTGCTGGCCTGGCCCTAGAACTGCAGACACTTCTAATTGCCCATGATAAGGCATTCACACAGATCCAGCTCATAGGTAGGTAATTACTAGACTTGGTACCACATTAATAATGTAATCTAATAAAATGGTCAATCATGGGTTTTGTCTTTAAAATGAAGTAAAAAGAGGTCTTCACAACAAGCAAACATATTTCGTACACTTTATCTCTTCTATCCAAAGCAAGATACATCATTTTATATACACATATGTGTGGAATATCGATTACAAAATTCTGAGATGTTCATTGTTTTTATTTCCAGACAGCAAGCTCAGCACCCTTACTGCTAAGATATTTTCTGCCCATGAAGAGGGCCACCAGGGGCTCAGACTACACCTCCTCAGTAGGAAGTCTGTAGTGGAGGGTGTGAGACAGGCCTTCCATCAGTACCGTGTCATTAAGTGGAACCAGATCCGTGAGTTATCTAACCTGATCCTTGATACCTTTGCTATAGACAGCAGCACCTTGCCCCTCCCTCCACAGCCTGACCACGTCCATCAGCAGATCGAGGAGGATGATCTAGCCACCACGCTGACCATAGCTTACTCTGTCTGTTCTAGGACCTGGTGATCTAGCTTGAGGACTTGGTGATCTAGCTTGAGGACTTGGTGATCTAGCTTGAGGACTTGCATGGTGATCTAGCTTGAGGACTTGGTGATCTAGCTCTAGGACCTGGCGATCTAGCTTGAGGACTTGGTGATCTAGCTTGAGGACTTGGTGATCTAGTTTGAGGACTTGGTGATTTAGCTTGAGGACTTGGTGATGTAGTTCTATAGGTCTTTTAGTGTGAACTTGAATAATGACTTGTCATATCTGACGTTGACTTTCTGAAACAACAATGACTTGTCTCTTGTCTTATCTGACGGCGACTTTCTGCAACAGTGATTTTGGTTATGATGAAACATCTGTATGCAGATTTCACCTCATGTTTTCAAGAGATTGAAAATGACTTTGAACTCTACACTATGGATTCCCTGTCTCCCCTGATGTATACTTAGACTAGTGCTGTATACCAAAACATAAGTGTCAAATATTTTCTGTACTATACTTGCTATTGGATTTGAGCATGTTATTAAATATATATAAAAAAATATTCTATTTGTTAATTTGTTTTTCAATTAAATGTGAATGTTTAGATATTATACAATTAAGCTACTGACACAATATGTCTGAACAAATTCAAAGTACTGGTATTCTTAATCCATCATAAAAAAGGATACTTTCATATTATTTTCATCTGGTAGGAAAATGACATAGAAACACTAAAGTTATCTCATGAATTGAACGTGACCGTATAATGCCAAGCCAAATGCTCTAAATAAACAATTACTCACTGATAATGGATTTTCTTTATCACACACTCTCTAAATTGGATGAATAATTTCTGGATCTAAGGAAATTTATTAACTGCAGCAGAATATTTATGCATTCCGTATAAATTGAGATTCCTAATTTATGTAACCTATTGGCAGTCTAATTATAATTTAAAGGGGCTGGTCGGGGAAAAAAATCAAAATAAATGGATCTAAATGCGTTCTTTGGCCTTCCAAAAGTTATACCACGGCAATATGATGGTCGAGTTCTGCTTGCAATGTCCAGTTTTGACCACTGAAATCTCGGGGAAGCCCCGCGTAAATTTCGCGCAGATCTATTTATATATGTCACGTGGTTGTTTCCAAAGTGAGGCAGTGAAGATAACAACAATAGCACTCCGTCATGTGCCATGTCGGACTCAACTAGCGGACAAGACAGCAATACTATACGTAAATAATTGTTTTCAAAGGTCATGTATGATGCAAGTGTAGTATTCCAACCTATATGTTGTTGTTATATATAACGGTATTGATACCTCGTGCCTGTCATGCCTTTTGCATGCATCTTTTTCTTTCACCGCGATAACATATTTATATTTTTTACTCTTACGGAGTGAATTTCAGCAAAATTTGAATCGGTATATTTCATAAGAAGGTATTTTAAACATGTGTATGCCATTTTAGCAAATATGACATTTTCCCCCCGACCAATAAATAATAGATGCACTATTTTTTCCTAGATAAAGATTGAGATCAATGTTGATTGGACACTGACTAGAAAACACAGATATATTACCACTTACTACAAAACAATAATGATTCAACATTGATCATTAAACAGCAGTGTTGTCTGTATATGTTGCCTTCAACTACCAGTATGTCATATATTGTTAAACCATTATTACTATGATTTGTGACCTCCTGGTGGTACGGGCACAGCACATCAACATGCAATAGGTTCTTGTATATGCTATACACTCTGTCTAAACCATATTTTGTTCAATTCAGGTTTTCGTACTCATAACCCGACCCCAGGGGCGTTTCTAGGATTTTTTGGGTTTCTCTTTCAAATATCCTAGAAACGAGAAAAGAGGAATCAAATCTTTTTGGACCTTTTTTTTGCTAAAAAACCCAAAAAATAATTGTGAAATTTTAAGGTCTTTTGATGCTTTTGTTTTGACGTCGACATCTTTGACGATTTCACTATATCACGTGGTCAACAACAATGGATACTAATCGCAGAGTCGAATACGGCGGAGAAACGAAATTTTACGGATCACCCATCGGATGGGGGAATCAATATAAAAAGAAATCAGAATATGTGTTTAATTAATGAATATGATAAATTGCCATATTCAATATAATATAAGCAGATGACGATAAAAAAATTGAAATTGACAATTCACCAAACGAACTATAGCAGGTTTGTTTTCTTGTTAAGCTTTTTATTTCAAGATGATATGTCAAGATTGAGGGGTAATTATACAACAGATATAGCCAGAAGGTGTTTGTTCTCTATTCTGTTTTGTTTGTTTACCAGCCATAACACTTCAAAAGACAAGTGACTGTACTATTTCTGTTTGATTTTGATTAAACTGATTCAGTATACAATTGTGATCCACATAAAACACGTCGGTTACAATACTAGATTGGATTTAGATTTTACATATACTTTCAAGTTATATAAAGATGCAAGTAGGAAATCATTTAGGTTCTACTAGTAAGGACTCTTGCACGTGATCAAACATGCGATCCTTTTATTACCCAGCAGCACCGGGGGTGATAGCAGTAGTGGAAGTAGTGGAGAATTTGGAGGAAGTGGATTTGGTAGCAGCAGTTCCAGCGGCGCAAGCGCAGCAGGAAGCTTTGATCCTAATGCCATCAATGCCAACTTTGGAGGACGACGATAGACGAATATTATTTTCTTTTTATTTATCATACACGAATACAACACCTATAAATGATTAACTATGTCATTTGCTATACGTTAAAAATGGTAATAGCAGTTCATATTATTTAGGGTATTTCTCTAGAAATCGCTGCGAAGTAAAAATATATTTGCTGCTTGTGAAAGAAGAGTTATTATATCAGGAAAATGTCATTACATGCTCCATTAAGTATTGACTAGGTTTGGATTCGTTTGGTTTCGTCTAATTTTGTTTGACGTCATATTAACAGATAAGATAATTTAGGACGCGCCACTATGTGTGTAGTGTATGCGGGTATGTTGGCATGCTTGCCTCCTTGTGATAGCGCGGATATGATGCCAACCTGTATAGTGCTATCACACTGAAATACCATGCCGAAGGTAATATGATACTCATATAATAATGATTAGTATAAAATATAAAGTCACCTAATACTAAGTATATATTCATATAGTAATGATTAGTTGTTATACTGACAACGGGTGAAACAGTTGTTGCCATTCCCCTAAATGTTGAACGTTAAGCAGGGACTAACAACATCCGTTTTTAAGGACTCTGGTATGTCCCGGCCTGGGTATGGAACCCACTGCCTTCCTCATCTGGGACATATTAACTACATATATATAAGATCGATTGATTATTGTGAAAACAAAGGACTGAATATGATAGTTGCCCCTTTCTTTACCAGTTTTTGCCGTAAATAAAATGATAAAAAAGACTTTATAATATTTATAACTATTGAATATTATTCATATCAACATTAAGAGCGCTCATTGTTTTAGCTATCAAGTTGAATTCCTCAATGTGTACATCGGCATTCATTAGGGATATTTTCCAAACATAATAGCGGTTAGTGTAAAATAAAAAGTCACCTAATACTAAGTATATACTCATTGATTAAAATAAAATAAAAAGTCACCTAATACTAAGTATATACTCATATAATAATGATTAGTATAAAATATAGAGTCACCTAATACTAAGTATATACTCATATAACAATAATTAGTATAACATAAAAAGTCACCTAATACTAAGTATATACTCATATAATAATGATTAGTATAAAATATAAAGTCACCTAATACTAAGTGGTGTATTATAATGATATACTTATATAATTAGATTTATGTTCTATGCATAAATCACATTATCAGAGGCAAATAGCAATTGGTGGTGTGCGAATGGTCCTAGTCGGTAATTAGTCGAAAACTAGAGTTACCGCCCGTGTTCACGGTTACACTAGACGAGCCGAGATAGACAATAAGGACAAGCAGGGTAATCTTGAGCATCCATATAAATTGATGTTAAAATAGTGATGCACCCACCCACCACACCCTATTATAAAAGTGTTATAATTTGCTTTATTTTGTATTAAGCCAGAGACGTATATAATACATACGTCTCTGATTAAGCTGTGTTTTTTTCTGCGGTTTGTTTTCTCTATTGTATTTTCAGCATTATCAACGGTCACAGTTCCATAAAGAGCCAGTGAAACATGGTGTTCTGTGTGGCGATGTTATTAATTATGTGACTTTGCAAGTGTAATCGCTGTACTGTGGTCATTGCAAGTCCAATTTCCTTGATACTGATTCCTGAATAATCTGTACGAGTGGGCGGATGTCGCTACATAAAGGAAATCAGTATCATCAGTGTTGAAGTTTCCATGATTGATGATTGGAAACAAGTGTTTGATTTGTTGAATTGTATTGACTTGATATCAGAGGATGTCTGTACCCAGGATCCTCTTGATAGCATTGCATTGTGTTTTGTGGTACGCCAACTGCGGTGTACGCTTTGCATGTATTATTTAATACTGTGGCCAAGATCTTCCAAATACGTTGTTGTTAAATCATTTATTGTGTGATTGAGTCATTGATCTATGATAATAATGATTAGTATCAAATAAAAAGTCACCTAACACTAAGTATATAGTCTACTGATATAATAATGATTAGTATCAAATAAAAAGTCACCTAATACTAAGTATATACTTATATAATAATGATTAGTACCAAATAAAAAGTCACCTAATACTAAGTATATACTCATATAATAATGATAAGTATAAACTATAAAGTCACCTAATACTAAGTAAATACTTATATAATAATGATAAGTATAAAATATAAAGTCACCTAATACTAAGTAAATACTTATATAATAATGATTAGTATAAAATAAAAAGTCAACTTACACTAAGTAAATACTCATATAATAACGATAAGTATAAGATATAAAAGTCACCTAGTGTTAGAAATATACTCATGTGGAAGTATCAAAATTTGTAGATAATTGGATAAAGTTATACTAGAATCGTACTACTGCTAATAATGACAGTAACACACATAGCATAACTCACCGTGACTTAAAACAACAAAAATCTGTAGAATTTCCAGCCAGAATTGGCTTAAGGAACGAGACATAGTGTTTATGTCTTTCAAGTTTTGACTGTAGAATATTGAAATTTATAACTTGAAATATATTATACTGATTGTGAAAATAAACACGCAAGAAGTTCTCATCTGTGGCTATTGCACTTAACTTGCTGGTGAATTAATCATTCACCCTTTAACCTATATTTTTAACAAATCCATCAGTTCTGGTTCATTTCCAAAAGACTGGAAGAAAGCCAAAGTTACCCCAATATTTAAAGCCGGGGACGTCATGACCTCTGTAAATAACTATCGACCTATTTCTGTCCTCTCTGTGGTTAGCAAAATATTAGATAGACATGTACATAACTCTTTTTATAAATATTTGTCATCAAATGAACTTCTAACTGAATCCCAATATGGTTTCAGACCTCAACGTTCAAC